GAACCGATTTCTTTCAACGATACGTCAAAAGATCAAAAATCGTATCTAGTCAAAGACATTACCCTCAAAAATTGAAAAAATTTCCCTCGTTCCCCGTAAACGGAGTAAATCTCCAAAAAATTACAAATTTAAAAATCGCTAATTTTCGAAATTTTTTCAATTTTTTTTTCTTAAAACTGCCATAACTTTTTAAAAAATGTATGGATCAATACAATTTTTTCACAAGAAGTAGTATTTATATACATCTTTCATTCGACATACTTTTGTTTTTAATCAGACTATTTCCCTATATACGACGGGGATTCAAATCTGAAAAATGCACATAGAAAGAAGAACTTTTTCAACTTAACTTTTGAAAGTGTTCCGGAAAGTCTGACACTTTTATATATATTTTAAATTAAAGCTAATGTAATGTACTTTATTATGGAAAAAAAATTTCGACCTTATTTTGTCTTCACGGTGAAAATAGCTACCGAATGCTATTTTTGTGTGAAAATTCTCGATTTTATATTTTACATTTTTTACTTTATAATGCTATATCTTATTGTAAAGTGTATGGATCAACACAATTTTTTTATGAGAAATAATATTTTTTAATAATCCCTTTTTTATTCGACATACATTATCTTAATCAGGATATTAATAAGGAACTAGCAGATCATGTAGCTTTTGGAATAATCCTTCAATTTTTTAAAATTAAACATTATCTAAAGATTTGCATCGAAGCGTTTTTTTTATAGTGATTTTAATCACTGTCATATATCATTATACTTGATCCAACTATGCCACATCACCACTGTGCCGCGACCCCCCTTTTTTATATTTTAATTTGCAGATTTTTATCAATACATCATCAATCCATACATTTCTATATAAAAATGAGAATTTTTTTTTTATTTACTTTTATAAATAAAATATAATATATTTCTATATATTATAATTTAATATATATATATTTATTTTATTTTCTATATATATTATCTTTAATTTTTAACTTTCTATAATCTTCAGTTACTGTAAAACTTGCAGTTAATATGTGCAAATTGTCCACCAAATGTATTTTACCGTTTTTTGCTCATTACTTATTATTTGAGTTTCTTCTCCGAAAAACTACGGATATTTATTGGGAAAAGCATGTTGCCCAATATACCAGCCATCCAAATATGCGTATTGCGACCGTAATATAAAAGTATATAGGGATCGGTACCACTATATGTATGTGTCTAGTGGTGGTTACTCGGTAGAGAAGAAAAAAAGTAATAACCCAGACATAAAGTGTGTTTACTGTAGTCTTATCTACCGTTTAATAACCAGCGGTGAAATCATGTGTAATGTACTAATAGAATAACACGATTAAAGAAGGGCTAAAAAAATATGTATTATAAATGCACGGCGATTTCTAAAATGCCTACAGAAAAACGCGGAGTCGAGACATATTTTCCGACAAGGATAATACATACACAACTGCCGCCACAGGATTGCTGACGTTGTACTTCACACAAACCACACTCATATTATACATGTATTCATATGCACACACATACAAATGCCGACAACCAGACCGGCGGCGGCAGATTGAAAACAACGTCTACTTGCTGATTTTACAGAACGTTCGTGTTGGTGTGTATGTCGCCCACAGTAAACGCATTTTTTTTTTTTTTACAACAAGATTTTTTGTTTGTTTTTTTAGTTACGGAACTATTGTAGTACATTGGTTATTATTATTATTAAAATTATTATTATGGTTAATGCGTTACAGGGCTGCACTGTGACGTGACATTGAATTTTTCTCTTGCATGGATCGTGTGAAATAAAAAACCCACTCGCTGCTGGGCGATAATAATGCGATGTACATATATACACTTAATGCACATTGTGACCGCGGTGGTGAGAGTCACCGTTTCGTAGAATATGGCGAACAGGAGCCGAGATAAAATTGAGAGTCTATATATTAGCTGATACATAAATGGTATGAAGAGGTGGAGTCTGGTGGAAAGAGCTGTGTCTATACGACTTGGTAAAATAATTATGTTGTTTCGACTACACGGTCATGAGACCACATCGACTGTTCCCGGAAGAGTGTGTTTGAAGTTTGAGCTACATTCCGAATCCAAAGATAATACCTTTTTGCTTAAGTATGACGTACGACTATCCATATCTAAGTTTTACTAGTAGTATGTGAAATTGACGCGTGAAGACCAAAAAATGATGTATCATATACAGGCGTATGATGTGTAAAGTACATATTGGCATAAGGCAATAACAAGCGTACATAATTTGGTCGATGGCACCCCAACTGCTCTAGGTCCTTTTTGTAGTTTGGAATTTAAGTTGTTCGATTAACTATGGAACTTCACGGATAAATTATTTTTTTATTATGCATAAAGCAAATGGAGTAGCAAAAAAAGGACATTTTACTTACAAAATGTTTGTCTATTCAAAAATTTCATAAGGAACTCGCCAAGACAATATCAGCTTTTTTTTTTTACAATTACAGATAACTTTGATTCTAAACTATAGTTCACAGTCAAAGTTATCTACAGAAAAACTAGCTATAACTCATTCTTTTTTAATATTTCATACAATAATCATCAATTATAATTAAATGAACGTTATATAACGCCAAGAGCTTACACGTATAATAATGATGATAGAACATCATTTTGAGATGATATTTAAAGGAAAGTTAAAATAAATTATACTATATATTATTACTTTTTTTTTTTTTTACCAGTACATAAAAAAATATGTAAAGTTTATTATAATATAATAGAAATATCTATGTAACTATTTAAGTACAGAAACGATTTGTTTTTGCAATAAGTTGACTTAACTAGAAAATAAATCTTCTCTGATATACATAAGGTTGAGCATCAATATTAAAATAATTAAATGCAATTAATCAAAGTCCATCTTATCAAAGCAAATATGCATTCAATACATAGATAAATGTATACAGTTTTAATTAAATTTTACTAAATATGAACATAATATTTCCTGAAAAATAATTTAATTAAAATATGGCATTGGTCCGAATCTTTTGCAATTCCGTTAGAAACAGTAAAACAATCAGATATAATTCCGATTAAAATTTCATCAACCTTATCAATATTTGTAATCATAAAATAGTTTAATTTTTTTCTAAATGCATTAGGTTATGTTTTTAAAAAAGCAAGGGCGATGTTTTGAAAGTTGCACATCATCAAGTGTAATGTGCAACTTTACTAGTAATTTATCGAATGCTTATTAAAAAGATAATAATTTAAAAGTTAAATAAAATAATGTTTTAATCTAATAAGGTTTATATGTTTTCACCAAATCCTAAATATATTCTCAAGTTCTTTCTTTTTTTTTAATTACAAAAAAAAAAAAATCTTAAACATTTTTATTTATTCTAAAGTATAAAGGATTTTGTGTTTATAAAACAATGTAGTTACACTATCTCAATAATAATACACCGTTTCAAATACAATGAGCATGTTAGCTGAATATATTATACTTCAACTAATGATTATTTTTTTTTTTTTTTATAATGTAGCTTGATTTGAGTTATTTTCGTATATTATCACATATGTTTGTTACGAATTAATATTTGTATTACTCTTAACGTATGTGTTTTATAGATGTTTTATCTTATAATTAATCAAGTTAACGATTTCTAATTTTACAAGTAATTAAATTTGCAATGTGCATTTTGAACATCAATTTAAATACATCCTGATAATATATACATTGTTTTTGTCGTGACCTTTCTACATAATCGGTTTAAAAAAGGTCATTACCCTACAAATTAATCAGTATTACCTATAGAGTTCAAATATCAGATAAAATTTCGACTTGTTATTTGTTGCAAAAATTTATTTTCTAAGTTATTATTATCGTTAGTGATCTACAAGAACATATCATATCATTATTAAAAAAGTATTTAAGGTATTAAAAAAAGAATAATTGTATCGTGCATAAAATCTGTTAAATCATTTATTGTCCTTAAGAATGTTGAAACAGGTGTTTTTGGAATTTTAAAATCCATTTATGGTCTATGAAAACTTTTTTATATTATTTAGCCGACTTAACACATGAGCTAACTATCGGAGACGGCATTTTCTAGTTTTTAGGTGTTTTCATTCAAAATGTACGATGATGGGCAAAAAAATGTTATCAAAAATATAAAAGGTAGAATCTATGAATTTGCTAAGAGCGGTAAAATACTTTGAGACGACTCTGATACAATGTATACAGCAAAATACTAACAGTATTTAATGAAAACAAGCCAGTGGTGATAATGTTTAAATATAATAACTATCTATTAGTAAAAAGTTTTAAAAACTAGAAAAACATCATTATCGAAGAGAGGTTACAATTAACATTTCAACGTCAATGTAAAAATTGCATTTATAATTATATGCACGTGCCGACCTTTTAAATCTTAAAGAGATTAAACATATTCTTATAACATATCGTAATCAAACATCAACCGGGTACTCCACAACTACAAATACACAGTAATCACTTCTGTCTCTTTTATTTGAAATATTCTTTTGCAAAATATAAATTTCCTATACAAAAATCAATTTTTAACATCTAACAGTTAAAACAATTTAAATGTTATAAATGATTATACATTACATAATATTACAATATTTATTATGACAATAAACACAATTTATACATTTAAATAAAACTTTATATTGTCAATTATTAACGTAAAGTTTTCGCAACAACTAAAAAATATTAAGATTGCTAAAATTACTACTTAATCATTAAATGGCAATTAAAATAAATCTTCATTAATCGTAGTAAATATAACTGCATACATGTTGTTTGTATACACAAAATTAATTTTTGCCTTGCTATTTGTGAACCCGGTACAAATGTTATCGGCCAAAATATTTACATGCGCTTATTATCTATAAAAGCGCACCAAGTTCTGTCAATTAAAAAGTTCAATATATTTATTATAATATACATTTATGAATGTTATCAACTTTGAATACAAATTGTTGTTAAACGCACACGTATATTGAATGCACATACACTGTATGCGTTTCCGTGTAAATGTGCACTAGGTATTGTAGTGTATGCGCACGAGTTTACGGTACTTACATAAACGCAAGAGCCGCTCATTCAGCACAATGTTATTTCAATGACGAATTTAAAACGTTTAATCCAACTTGAAATTCGACCGGATCATTTAGTAAGTAAAATTAAAACAATATGTATGTTCGTACTCGCTGTTGACTATCTTTTATTTTTGAACGATTAATACGCACAGCTAAAATAGATGATTAAGCCAATAACAAGACATGACACTTTACTGTACATGAACTTATGAAAGGATTTACCAACGAAAACAATTCAACCAGACTTTTGATTGGCATTTACGAAAAGTGTGTACACCACCATTGCATTATTATTTTCCGTGTTACATGATAGGTTGAAAAATGCAAACTAAGATTTAATGATAAGGAATTTAAGATAATATTAATTGTTATCATAAATATAACAAATGACCTAATACACTACACTTTTCCCCGAAATCCCAGTTAATTGTTATTTGTACAGATACCTACAGTAAATGATAACAAGAATTTTTCCAATTTAATTTGACCTAAAGTTAAAATTTTTGAACTTTTTTCATCTTATATTAAGTAATATCAATGTAAATTATTAATATTATTTCATTTTCTACATTATTATTTTATGTTATGTAATATACAAATGCAATTAATTTTTTCCTCAGAATTAGATTGCAATTGTTTCTATTTTCCATTTTGAAACCATTGAAAATTTAAGTTTAATTCATATTAAAATCAATATAAGTAGAAAAACGATAATTTTTTTTCTAACACTGTTAAATTTATAACAGTTGTTATTATATTTTTAAACCGTGAGTTGGATAGCACCATAATGAACGTATAATATTTAAATTTTTATTCTCTAGAAAAAAAAATATAAATAGAGTTGTATTTCTTCAAATTTTATCAATACAAAGTAACCGTTCTAAATAATTTTAAATAGAAACACGCGGAGAGAATAAAAAATGAATATAAATACGCGTGGCAGGTAAACACATACAATATGACGAGAGTCCTAGAAATTATTACCTTCTTTACCAATAAATTATGAACAAGAAAAATTATTATTTAAATTAACACTTATGGAAATTTACTAAATTTTTATAATCCACATTTATATTATGATACTTCCAAAAGGAATTTTCTCGGTATCTTATTAACTTAACCCGGCGCTGTGAGTTGGACTAGTGGTTTTAAACAAAAATTAATTTTTAGAGGTTTACTACAGATTAGTAATAAAGAGGAAATCAAAGAGATTTTTTATCAAATCTAAGACAATCATATTATTTCTTTCAATATAAACTAAAAACATAAGCTCATTGTCATCTTAATCGACTATAATTTAGAGGACTGATTAGTTACATTTGTTTGAATAATATAAAATATGAGTAGTAATGTTTAAATGTAATAATGACCCCTATAGGAGTATAATTTCAGAATTTTATGTGTTCTAGTACAGCGTTTCTTAACCGGGAGATTGTGAGACTAGTAAAAAGGTTGAGAAACAACCATATTGATATTCCGGTTCTACTTGATAATAACTTGTAATTTACATAATAATCATAAATAAGACTCTTGTAAGAACAAGGTTTCTATATTTTCAATTTTTTTCAAGAGACANACCATATAACTTGTAATTTACATAATAATCATAAATAAGACTCTTGTAAGAACAAGGTTTCTATATTTTCAATTTTTTTCAAGAGACAAAGAAACTTATGTAATAGAAAAGTATTATTATTTTCACCAATATAGAATTTTCACCTTATTTAACATTTTCAATTTTTTTTTAAATTTTTTATTGATGGGTATAAGTATTTTAAACATTAAAGTAACGATTTGAATAATTTTTCACGTTCAATTTTTTAAATAGCAATGAAAGTTTTTCCATTTAGGCTAAAACAATGTTAACAATTGTCGAATTCCGTAAAATATAGATATTTCAAGAGGCAGAAATACAGTTAAAACTAAATTTTTTTTATGGTTATAATCCTTAAAGAAGAAAAAAGACAAAATATATATACTTAGTATATTATATTGATAACCACAATATTTATTATTATTGCACATATGGTATGTTATGTAAACCGTTTTATCAAGACTTGATTGCATTTTCGATTTATCCCTTCTTATAGAAACAAATACTTAGTAAAATTCAAACCGTATAATAGTGTGTTGTTATTATTATTACTACTGCTCCACCCCACATAATATAATATTATTATCCCTTCATCGCATCCTATTATTTTATTAGAATTGAAAAGGGAAATCTAAATGGGACATTTTTTTTTCTTAAATCGAAACCGGACACTTTTTGCTACAGATATTTCATCGAGATGTTGTACGCATAGAAAAAAAAACACACAAAAAAATATAAATACCGATCACTAGAAACTTTACTAGGTAGAAAACAATTTATCACGATAAAAGGCAATCACATCTCAAAGGTATATTGGCTTCTCTCCCATTTTTACGGGATTTATGCTTCAGCCTTACACAATACAACTATAATTTAATAATTGTATACTATTCACTCATATTTCTCTCATGCCTTTTGTTCAAATGTTATAATTTACTTTTAACTGTTTTAACATGAGAACACTCTTAGTATTTAAATTATTGTCATTTGTGTGGTCTAATGGATTTCTTTTGATGAAATATTCTATGTACTCATTTTAATTGATAAAATCATTTTGGAGCAATTCAAATTAATTAATGATACAATTTTACAAGAAGAAAATATTTCATTGATTTTTAATAAGACAATAATTCGAGAGATGATTTAATTTACTATACGATTTTCAATTATATAATAAGTATATGTACAAATAAGTTAAACTGATTCAATGTTAAATTATCTAAAAATCTCAAGAGCCTAGAATATAAAAAGTATTACCCTTAAATTATTTTATTTTTGATTTATCCCAGTTAATTTTACCAAGAGATTTGTCATAATTAATTTTTGAATTATGTCATCTCAGTTATAAAAATAGATAACAACTGAATCACTTTACAGAAGTGATTTAGTTTTTTTAATTAAATTTTTAAATGTGTTACGGTTTCAATTAATGTTATCACTTAATCAGAAACAATTGACAACAATTGCCTTATTTTTAACGTATGTGAAATTTGAAATAGGGAATAAAATCGTGCAAAACGTTTTTTCAACAGAATCTAAGTCAATAAACAATATAATTACTATTATTATAAATATGTAGTTGTTATCAAATATTTGTTTTTTGTAAAAAATTTAATGAAAAAATACTTTTAATCAGCAGATTGCTAGTAGTGTGTCTAGTTATCTTGGCAAAGTAGTCGGAATTATGTGATTGGAGACATAGTGTAATTACGCAGTTTAATAGATTGGGGTGGAAAAAATATTTATTGTAATAACTTATAAAAAAAAATGTATAGTTAAATGACACAGTGTGTATTTAATGGTATAATTAAATTATCGTGAAAAGTTTTTAATATAAGTTTGTAGTAGTCCATGGGATTTGTTAAATACACGAATTCACAAATATTTATATCGTATTTTAAATAACACGATTCAATAGATTATTTAGCACGCTAAATATGTGGTTGTTATTATAAAATTTCACATGCTATTAAAAAAAAATTTAACTAATTTAAATGTATACATTATATTATAATATCTAAGAAAACCACACGTGGGCATTTAGTTCAAATCTCAAGGCTGCTAAAATTTATATTCATAATCATAATTGTTTTTTTTACTTAAGAATAATCACAAAATTGACCAAAAAAGTAAAATATAAGAATAATGTTGTTAGTTTGTAACGTAGTGATATTTAAAAACTCTTAATACCGTTAAATGTTTACCTATGAATTGGTAATAGGACTCTCAATTTTATTTTCTCATAATTTTTCATTAATAATTTTCGCTGCTCATGAAAATATATCTATAACCACCACCGAAAGCTACCCAATGATTATTGACAATTTATTGTTTTTAGAATATACGTATAAATTATTGCTTTAAAAATTGTTATGAACAACAGTGATCTATGAGTAAAAATTTTCTATGTTTGATTTAAGTTAATTTTTTTCATTTCTATTTACTATACATTAATATGTTTAATGTGAAACTGAATATACGGTATTAAATAAATTTAACTCTTCGAAAGTATACATTTTTTAAACACGAATATTATATGATATATAATGATATATTAATTTTTGTTATTTTGGCTGACCCCTAGTAGTTGGGATTAAGGCGAGGAAAAGAAGTAAATTAATTTTTATTGTTTAATATTATGTCGGTTTTATATAAATAAATGTTCAATGATGTAATGTTAAGTATTTTATTTGATTTATTAAGATTCATTTTTTACAATAATATTTTGTGTAATAACTTTTAATTTTATTTACATTTATTCAGTTTTCAAATTAAAATAATTTCGTGTTATATGAGTTTTAATTATATTTAACTAGGTTTATGTAATATTCATTAGGCGTAGCTTGAAAATATTGTCTATGGTATCATATTCTATTTTATTTTTTAATTTAGATAAAAATTCTAACGTGAAACTTCTCTACCATATTGCTTTATCTTTTATCTCCACCAAAAAAAATTATTCAATTCATTTGAAGGGAGATACAAATACTTCTATGGGGAACGTAGTCCCATGCACAGTCGCCATGCAAACTACGCTAATGATAATGTTCGAACATTACTATGTGACACAAGTAAATGCCATAAAATACTAAATAAAACTTAGTGTTATACATTGTAACCCAAAGAAAAGGTTACACAACATCAATGGCAATAATACTAGTAGGCAACAATTAGATGTCATTGTTTTGTCTTGTTATAGCGTTATACAATAAATACTTCTATCTTTAAAAGTAGATTATAATATTGTAGCTGATGTCTTAATATCTTCAATAGACACTCAAGGGCACCATATGGTGTTATATTACGCTGTCAACTGTTCACCTTTATCAAATCGTGAAGAACAAAATGAATACTTGTTTAAATTTATAAGTTAACTGTTATATAAATAATCAGAAAATAATTAATCAATTTAAAAACTAACAAATTATTGCAATATTAACATGAATAATAAATATGACTGTATCATATACCTATGTAACTGTTTTTAAAACTTCTTTAATTACAATATTGAAAATTTAGCTTGAATCGCTCTAGGTTAGGTAACTCCTTTGAAATTAATAAATAATATAGAGTTAATTTATAAGCTTCTGGAATGTCGGAAAGCGTGAATTAGTACATATGAATGCATTGGGTTCTTAAAACTTTTAGGTTTTTTTAGTCCTTATACTTTTTA